AGTCTTGGAAACCCAAAGGAACACTGGTGCTGTGAGTTAGGCATTCGCTTGCTGATTGCAAGGTCAGCAGTTCAAAGCTTGTCTGCTTCTGTAAAGACAGACAAGCTCAGAAACTCGACATCAGGTTGTTAGGAGCTGGATAGGCTCGAAGGCAGGGGTTAACCCAACCACATCGGTGGGGAGTCCCAGCCATTTCTCCACACGGGCTCCACTCGCCTGCCTGGCCGCGTGCCCGCGTGCCCGCGTGCCCCACGTGTCTGAGCGTAATCACTGTGGCTGGGAGTATGCTGCATTTGTCTACACCGTGGCCTGCCTGCGTGCTGGTTTTCTCTGGCTACTGCTGAGCAGGACCCACGTTCTCCACAGCACCTCTCTGCGGAGCGAGCCGTTCCCCCAGAGATGGCTGCTGGGGCACCTCCTGCACGCTCCTGGACGCTCCTGCACAAGGGCTGGCAGGGGCACGCGCCCATGCGAGGGAGCAGAGGGGTGTGGCCCCGGGCCTCACCTCTCCTGCTTGTGGCGGAGACGAGGATGAAGGGGCTGATGCTCAGGAAGGTGAGCACGAAGATGAGCTTGATGAACGCGGAGCCGGGGCTGGCGAAGCAGAAGCTGAGCACGTAGACGAAGGGGATGATGGCCCAGCCGTAGAGCATGAGTGAGAGCAAGACGGCTAGGCCGTTCTCCTGGTAGGTGAAGGCATCTTCTCTATAGTACAGAAACACCACCTGCGGAAAGGCAGCGGGTGGGAGGAGTCACCAAGGGCCCTGGCCCACCACCCGCCTTCGCACTCTCTTGCGTCAATGGCAGAGGGGCGGCCGCAGTGCACCGTGACAAGGAGCCTCAGAGGCACCGGGAACATGATGGTTTGTTCTGCGTAGAGGAGCCAGGGACCTTGGAGCCCCTCAGTCCAGTCACCACTGAGATCCAGCAGAGCCCTGTGAGCCATTAACTACCCTTTCTGATTAGGAGGGAGGAGTTTCTTACTAGTGGGGAGGAGCAGCTGGGGGGAGGCTTCCTAGGGGCAGGCCCCGCTGCTCCTAAAGACAGCCTCAGTTCTTACTAGCCTTTCACCTGCTAAGGACCTCCACACCCCCACCGCCACCAACTCACCAGTGACAGCCAGCCTCTCACTTACAAGGGCTCCCCACCCCCACTAACTCACCACGACATCAGCAGCAGCAGCAGCAGCAGGGTGGCACCAGGAGGGACCCACCCTGCAGGGGGCTCTTCCCTAGCTCACCAGCAGCAGCAGGCTGGGTTCTAGGACGGTGATGAGGTCCCATAGCAGGTTGGGGATCCAGAAGGTAGCCACGTGGACGCCACCGACAAACTGGTTATGTTTGGCCTTGCTGGCGTTCTCCTTGACGGTCAGGATGGAGAAGGAGCTGGCCAGGAAGGCCATCCCGAAGAGCAGGTTGATGACAAGGGAATTCACTTTGAGGTCTCTGTGAGGGAGCGACAGGTGGGGGTGAGGGTGGGGCAGGCTCCGGAGGAGTGCCACCTGCAGCTCTGGGGCTGGGCAAGGCCGTGTGGAGGGCACACGTACTGGTAAAGGATGTTCTCAGACATTTCCACGGCCGGTAGGGGCTGAGGGTGGTTGGTGACAGTAATGGACGCCCCAGTGCCTGAGAGCAGCCTGAACAGGAAGTTGTCCACCAGCGCCAGGGCCAGGGCAGGGGAGTGGTAGGCCTGGTTGTTGAACAGCACGGTCACCGTGGAATGGCCCTGGACGTCTTCGATGGAGACGGCCACCAGGTACAGCTTGTCAAAGCCCTCCGGCTCCTCCTCCTTCTTCTGCAGCAGGAACTCATCCATGGAACCTGGGCAGAGCAGAACACCTCACTCCCTGTGTAGCCCTGGGGCCTGCAAAGATTTACAAGCTCAGAACACCTTGGTTAACACATTGGCCTATGATCCGAAAGATTGGCAGTTCGGAAACACCAGTCGCTTCAAGGGACAAAGATGGGGCTTTCTACTCCTGTAAGCAGTTACAGTCTTGGAAACCCACAGGGGCAATTCTGCCCTGTCATGCAGGGCTGCTGTGAGTTGGCATCAACTCAGTGGCAGTTGAGTTTGGGGTGTTTTTTGGATCACTCTCTGAGGCACTCTGGAGGTATTGTAGCTTAGGAATTGGGCCTCTAACTCCCAGGTCGGTGGTTCAAAAACACCAGCTGCTCCCCAGGAGAAAGATGAGCCAGTAGAGACACACAACCTCAGAAACCCCAAGAAACAGGTTCACGCCGCCCTGTCGGCTCTCTGCAGCAGAACGGACTCAGTGGCCATGGGTTGGGTGATTGGGGTTAGTTGTTAGAAAGACACAATAGCGGAGGGAGGGTGGGGTGGAAAGGGGGAACCAAGTACAAGGATCTACATATAACCTCCTCCCTGGGGACGGACAACAGAAAAGT